TTAATCCTCCCTAAATAATATCTAAACTTGATCATACTTATAAAATACTATTCAAGAAGGAAAAGAAATGGATGAGTTTTTGCAGATCTAAACTGTAATAATCCAGACAATCACAAGGTGGCAGCAAACTGTTAATATTTTTGATGTCTCTTTGCTCCCATTTTGTGGTGGTTGGGGGTTTTGCAGTTCAGAAGTAATAACCCTATAGCAAATCAGAGAGTCAGAGAGTCAGAGAGAGAGAGAGAGAGAGAGAGAGAGAGAACCAAAGAATATACAGAATACAAACACATAAACACAATTCTGCTCTGAATTGTTTGCCTAGAAAGCAGTATTTTGTACTGGGGCAGAAGATCTTTTTTCAACGCCCAGTATTAAATGAGCTCTCTCTTTTGCATGCTGATATTATCTTCAAGGAAGCAGAAATTAAGGACGTATTTATAACTAAATGTGGGAAGTAGGCCAAGATCAAGGCACATCAGCTGACACAATGAATCTTAGGTAGCACTAAACTCTAGAGGCAGCATAGGACAACAATCCTCTATACAAAGCAAATAAAGAGAATATTGTCTAGAACAAATGCCACAGGGCTGAGCCTGAATGAAAATATCCTGATAACTGATGATAAATCAAGGATTTGTCTCTTCAAGGATCCAGTTAATTAGCATTAGTGCAGACAATCCATGAGTTTTGACTGTAGAACTAGAATCATGGTACATTGTAAATCCCTCTGCAGCAACACTGTGATCTCTTTATAACAGCTTGATGGAAATAATCCACCAGCTCTTTCTCTGCCCTTAGAATACAGAATAACAGAGTTGGAAGGGACCTTGGAGGTCATCTAGTCCAACTCCCTGCCCAAGCAGGAAACCTTATACCATTCCAGACAAATGGCTGTCCAATCTCTTCTTAAAAACCTCCAGTGTTGGAGCATTCATAACTTCACTCAATCCATGCTACATAAAAGGAGCTTTGAAGACAAACATTCTTCCTCTTTTTCCTCAAAATTCTCAAGGTGGAGAGAGAAATGGGTGGCATATGCTTCCCCCCCTCCCCAATTTCCTCTGTTTGCCTCAATCAGTGGCAAAATCTGAAAAAGAAAAACCTTGCCTGGTGCTAATTGCAGATACCAGGAAACACATTCTGAGGTCACAAGGAGACTTCTAACTGTGCTCATGTGAGTGTTATAGAAACAACAGTGTTGGAACCTGAGATGGTGGGGTAGGTGAAGATAAGAGAGGAAGGGGATGGAGCTTGTATTCCTGCTATTCCCTCTTCCTTATTTTGATTACTCATGTGTTCTTGCTACGTTGCAGTATGAAGCTGGGGTTCAAATATGGTTAGTGTATGATTGGAAAAATACCAGGAAATCACAAAATTGGAGTTTCCTGGAGAAAGGAATGGGAAACTATTTCAACATTGTTGTCAGTAAAACTACATGGACAGGACCATGAAATTAAGCAGAAATAAAACTCCAGAAGTCTAAAGAACACATAGTCCAACATTTGCAAAAGAAATAGAACAACACATTAATAACTCACTGATTTGATGAATTAAAACAACTATCACTTGGCATGCATGAACAATGAAATACCATGTAGCACAGAATGTACAATTTATGTGCTGCTGTTTTTTTGTTCTATATAGTAACTTTAATCAAGTTAAATGTGCAGTATATCAAAATACTAAATAGAAATAATATTAAGTGTTGCTGTTTTTAACCATTTACTTGTGTACAACGTTTGATGATTTAGTTTGGCCATGTCATATGTGCAAATTCATTGGAAAAGGCAATGAAGCTAGGAATGGTTAGTGGACAAAGAAGAGGGAGCAAAGAACACACTGCTTGATAACATCAAATCTGATGCAAAGATGAACATACAACAATTGAAAGAAGCTGTGTGCTTGACAGAGTAGCATGGTGAGCACTTTAATGACCAAGGCCTGGACTCAACATTTTGTGGGAGGCCAATATGGATGGTGCTGTATCTCATATGTGTGTGGAGCTAATGTAAGGAGATGTTTGGGAAGTTACTTTTTTTTTAACTGTGATATACCTGATGTAGAACTTGGACTCAAATATTATCTGTCCCCATTTAAAAATAGCAGGAAATGCTATTTTTAGCAATCAGGCCAATTACAAGAGTTGGATTCTATACAATCTAGGAGACACAGATTGCCCAATCTTCCCTGGAATTGTGATTTCCATCCAATGGGGAAAACAAATGTCAAAATTCCTTGTTGCCATACAGGTTTGGTATTGTGAGAAAAGGATTAAAATACATTTTAAGGATATGGGCATGGAGCAATCTTGTTTACCATGTCATTTGTGTAACTTGGGTTAAGAATCCATGATCTTGTTGGTATTTCTGACTCACTTTTAAGTCATAGATTGTCATAATAAAAACAAAAGCAAGAATTTCATGTGATAGATTCTTTGATAAATAAATGAGACAACTATACATGAAAGCTCAGCTCCCTTTCATTTATTTTTCATGGATCGTTCAAGTAACATGTTTTTTGTAAATATACTATGAGCATCATACATTCTTTTAGCCAGTTCTTGATTTTTCCATTGAATATACCAACATTCTTTAAATTGGCCTATCATAAATTGAATGGATGGTACTGACTCAACTAGCAAATCTGTGAATTGTATTAAAGGTATTAGATTTTGGAAAATACAATCTCTGGCCATTTTCCTATGGTAGACTGAGGCTTTCAAATTACCTACATGACTTCAGAATGTTATGCAACTGTTTCTAGCAGGAGAAGGAGGCTGATGAGGAGAGAATTATAGACTTACTGATTGAATTCAGACAACTTGCTAAATTTGATTCACAAAATCCAATCACCTTGCTCACAAAGCATTCTATATTCAAATAAACCTTGTCATGGTCTATTGAAATGGCTTACGGTAGTTCACATCACTGAATTGCTGCAGACTTTGAACCACAAAGCATTCAACCCTATACTACCTATACAGATTCTCCTTGACTTATAACCATTTAGTGACCAACCAAAAACTTAAGAATAGTTGGCAATAGATGTCCTCCCTATGGGAACTGAGGCATTTTCAATAGTCTGTTTGGTGCAAGAACTTTCCAAAGCAGCTCTATCCTTCTGAACTGTTTCCATCTTGTTTTCTCTGATGCACTGATCTCTGATGAAATAATAGCTGATTATGTCCTTGATGCCACTATCAAATTTCAACATATAAGGACATCAGTTGTTCCTTGAGATAGATAAGGAAGAGCAGTAGTGCTGAATGTCATCAGTGTATTGATGTCACTCCACTCCAACATCTGGTTTATTTCTTACTGTAATTTAATATAGATGGTGACCCATGGAAGATAATTTAATACCTTGTCAGAGGATCTCCATTTCTAGATGTTGAAATATAGTTTCTTTATGTAGTTTTCTCATTAACTAATCAAGGAGAGAAGCAACCTGGAATTAAAGAGAAATTTCTTAACAGTGAGAATAATTAACTGAAGCTTGCCTTCAGAAGTTTTGGCTGCTTCATCACTGGAGATATTTAAGAAGAGACTGGACAGTCACTTGTCTGAAATGGTATAGGTTCTCCTGCTTGAGCAGGGATTTAGACTAAAAGACCTCCAAAGTCCCTTCCAGCTGTATTCTGATAGATTGATTGATTGATTGATTATTGATTAACTGGACATGGTCTTAAAGGAAAGGCCTGAACTATTGCTAAATGCTAAATATCATGCTCAATGAAAGAGATCTAGCTGGCTTTTACTATTTCCTAACCAGTCTCTAGATTGGATATAAATCAATGCATAACTAAAATAGTTATAGTAGTGTATCTTAGCTGAAATCTGAACTGAAATGAGTTCAGATATTCAATATTATCCAGATATCTCTGAAATTGCAAGATCACTATTTTATTGATCACTTTTCCCCAGAAACAAAATGTAATCTGCCTATAAGACAAATTTCCCAGAGCAAGGGATGGATTCCCCCATCTGAGATCCTATAACTGCCTGTTTTATATAGGGTGGACACAACTTACCTTCAAAAAGACATTCTTCACTTCCTTTAAGCACCATTCTGGCTGATCCAATCATCTATGAAGGGTGAGATTCCAGTAAGCAGGTAGTAGCCTCCATACTATCTCCCAGATTTACAAACTGAAAAGAATTCAAAGCAACAGAACAAACCCTTGTTGAGAATATAGAATCCAAATTAAAGCAGCCTTTTCTTCAAAAAGCTGTGCAGTTTGCTCATAGAAAGCCATCAACTGCTCCAGTTCCTGTTCATGTGGATACACCACATTCTTGCCATCCTATATTCCCTAGGTCAGTGATAGTGAACCATTTAGAGACCAAGTGTCCAGAAACCAGCCCACCCCCCCAGCCCGTCACCAGTTCCACCCCCCATTCCACCCACCCACAGGGCCATTCACCACAGATCTCCCAGGCAGTCTTGCAGCACCATGGCAGCCACGCCCTCCACCTGCACCCCCCAACATTATCTGCCTGTGATGGGGCACGAGGGTGGAGTCTTGCCCCTGCTGCCCGTCTGTCATGTGCTTGCTTCACTGCTCCGTGTGGGCTGTGCCTGGGGGAGCCTCTCCTCTGGGTAGGCTGCTGGTGAGGAGGGGATTGCGGGGGGAGGTGGGGCTAGGGTAACGGCACACGTGCCCACAGAGAGGACTCCAAGTGCCACCTCTGGCACACATGCCATAGGTTCGCCACCATTGCCCTAGGTAATTCCCATTAAGTGAGCCTTCTTTCTGCATAAACACACTTAAGATCACATTGTTACTTTTTGTTGAAGCAACAAGTAATACATAACTAGCTGTAAGCCTCGTGGTCTTCTGATTATTTTTTTAAGGGTTCTACAGAACTTGCAGGCACTATTAATGATGGAAAGCATACTTGTAACAGAGCAGACTTGTATTGCCCTGGAAGCCAGGAAGAAAAAAAAATAGCTGAGTGTCCAAAGCTCCACCCTATCCATGTAGCCGTACCTAATGTTTACACACTCTGAATATTGCTCAAGGCAAAGCAAGGTACCTGTTGGGAGAGATTTTTAAATAGTGCAGCACCTGTCGCTGAACAGCTCCAGAAGAGATCAGCAGCATAGCTGAGCCAGGCTTCGTTCTGCAAACACAGGCAAGGTACAATTTGTTTACATGTACTGTATGTATATTAGTTAATGTTAAATATCCATCAGTGTTTAAATAGCATTTATTAGCATCCTGGCTAGTTTATCAAATATGTATATTTTAATCTTACTTTTAACTTCATAACCAAAAAATAAAAACTTCACACTGCAACTCGGTTGATTCGTTGGTTGGCTTTTTTTCCTCCTTTCTTCTCCCTTTCTTTTTCGTTGCCTTATGCAGTGGAGGGAGGGTGTTTCTCAGAGATTTTGCCAGCTTCCAGACTTGCCCATATGGCTAGCATATCTGCTATTCCTTCTTACCCAAAGCTTACAACATGGAGCCAATTCATAGGCAATAGCTGGAAAAATGAGACTGCGTAGTGCACCGAGTTGGAAAAATCAGGGCTCCTCTACTCAGCTTCCTGTTTACAGTTCTCTCTGGGAAGCAGCAGATGAAATTCAGAACTGGGGAGAACCCGGTTCGTATCTCTGCTTCCCAAGAAGGAAACTATTCTGGCAAACAAAGTAATGGGGCATTTATGAGAACAAAATGAACTGTTAGGCTATGCTGCTTTGGAGCGCACAGGAAGAGGATAGGTAATATTTAAAAGTAATTTGTTGTAGGGCTTTTTGTTAAGAGTTTTGCTTTCTTACAGATAAAATTCACAACAGGCGACAACCAGTATATTTCTTGACAGTAAGAACAATTAATCAGTGGAACAGCCTGCCTCCAGAAGCAGTAAATGCTCCAACACTGGAAGTTTTTAAGAAGAGACTGGACAGCCATTTGTCCGAAATGGTGTAGGGTTTCCTGCCTGAGCAGGGGGTTGGACTAGATGAACTCCAAGGTCCCTTCCAACTTTGCTACTATTACTATTACTATTTTGCCATTTTTTGAAAGCCACTTTGATGTAGCCGTTAAGGCACTGGGCTAAAAATCAGGAGACTGTGAGTTCCAGTTCCACTTTAGACATGAAGCCAACCAGGTGACCGTGGGCCACTCCCTCTCTCTCAGCCCTAGGAAGAAAGCAAGGGGGAAAAAAATGAGAGAAACTCTTGCCAAGAAAAGTGCAGGGACTAGTCTGGGCAGCTGGAGTCAACACTAACTGGGAGGCACACACATGTGTACATACAAACCCTTGTCATTTGAAGATGTAAACAACAGCAGAAAAACCAAGATCAGAAGAAGCCTGTCCCTTTCCATAGTTTTTCCTTACTTTTGAAGGTGTTCCCCTAGTGACAGAGAGGCACCTCCCTGTCATTATCTCCATTTTTCTTTAAAGCTGCTCACAAATAACAGGTTATGTTCATTTTTGAGTTATACCTCATAGCTCAAATTTTTCTTGTGTTAATAAGCCAACCTATAATGCGCGGACTTTCTACCTAGCCACAACCTATAATTTTACTAATAATAGTAAAATTACGTTAGAAAGCTCTAAGTAAAAGTGATATAATTTATAATAATATGATAATAGAGGGGACAAGGGAAGTTGTGCTGTTTCCATGTACTTTCTAGCAATTTCTAGCTCAGGGGTGTCCAGCCTTAACAACTTTAAGATTTATGGACTTCAACTCCCAGAATTCCCTAACCAGCATGGCTGGCTGGGATATTCGGAAAATTGAAGTCCACAAGTCTTAAAGTAGCCAAGGTTGGGCACCCTGCTTTTGTTGATATAAGATGACATCTTTCTTTTATTGTAAAGGTGTTAGTTGTTAGTTTGCGTAAAAAGTAAAGGCTCCTTTAAGACATGCTGAAAGTGCTGAACATGTCAATGCTGTTTTGTTTTTGCAGCAATATAGAGCTTTGTTCCTCCCCCCCACACACACACACACTTTGGTCTTATCGATTTCTCACTTCAGCCTACATCTTGGAGATTTTCTGATGATGTGCCATCCATACCAAAATATTTCTGACTCTAGACAGAGGGATCAGAAGACATCCTGGAAGAACCAGTGATAAATCTGTTCTTTCTGCTGCCAAGAAAATTACATTGTTGTGTCTGTGAAGTCATCTGAAGTTGACATTAATATGAGAGAAACCTGTCTTTTATATAGAAAACATAAAGGGAAAAATGGTTATGGAGGAATTCAGTCTCAGAAGTACAAACCAGAAATAATTTCAGAAAGGAAGAAAAAATGGTTTGGTTTTTGCAGGTTTAAGAGTTCAAGAAGTCCATTGATAATGTCTGTTAGGGCTGATAATATACGCCAACAAGCAAGCAGCGCTTTAATTTTCCACACTACTCTGGGGCAATGTCTTTTGATGACTCCTTTCGTATATATAGATATAATTTTTCTCAAAGATGTTTAGGATGGATCAATTTTGACTGATGAGTGACAGATGGAGGAGAGTTTTATTCCAAACATTTGCTATGCTAGCTTTTTGCAAACCCAGATTTCTCTTTCTGAAGACTCAAGTGTCTGTATGGCAGTCATGCATGAATCAGTCTTGTGATGTGCATGAAAAACTTGGAGGCTTGTTTCTGAGGCTAAGAGAGAGGTTATAAGGTCTTGCAATGCAGAGTATGCTGTGCTGTAAACTTGTTTGAATTGTTCTTGGGTGGTTCTTATTTACTCTCCAGTGACTAATACCAAACCCTTCCCTTTGCTGCCTATTTCGACAAAGCAGACTAATGACTTCATCTGAATGGAGAGAGATCCAAAGAATTTACCTTCCCATAGCTGGTCTCCACTGTCACTCTCATGTTTTTCCTTAACTCAAGATTAGAGCATGTGACATTATTAAAAGCCATTGCTTTTTGCTTGTTCTGTGAGTATGCCAATGGCATCCGCTAAAAAGTGATTTAGTTGGCTGCATAACCGGATATTTATTTAGCAGGCAATCACACCCAAAACATTTTTCCTTCTTGCTCTTTGTCACAGCTAAATTTGGAAAGGCATCAATGATTTCTAGTTCCAGACTTATGTTCCAGCCCTTATGGCTCAAATTTAGTGACATCCTTAAAATACAAATAATAAAGAGACACCATAAGGATTAACAGATTTATTGTGGCATAAATTAATGAAGCTGCTGTAGCCTGCAGAAACCAAAGTCATCATAAATATGTTAAGCTTCATAGTACCAACATAGTACCATTTCTTTGAGATTTCTATGGCAATACTTCCCAATCGAGTTAATATGTCTATGGAGCCCATGTCATGTTTTTTATTGTTATGCTTGTTTTCAATCCAGTTCATTACATTTTGTTTCACGTTTTTAAGTGTTTTAATTGTATATTTGGAAATTGTAAGCCAGCCAGAGTTTTTGGAATGGGCAGTCAAAATAAATTTAAATAGATTACATTACCTTCCCACATTGGCACATTTCTAACAACTCATTTCCTCACAAGTGTTTGGGAGCCATCCTGCAGTCCTCTTTGCTTCATTTGACTTTGACATATTGCAGGAGAGCACAAAGAATAAGGGGTGTCACAAAGAAACAGGAGTGCCAAAGAGGATGGTCAAAACAGTTAAGATGATTGTGATTGCACAATTGAAACTCCCATCTTGACTGTTTCAACGTTTATTTATTTATTTAGTTGCTCATCACATTCTGAAAAGTGACTCTGGGCTTTTTCTCATTCCATAGACACTCCTGCAAAGAAATGTGATTCTATCCAACCTGCCTCAAACTAGTCCAGAACTCAGAAAAACAAAAATCCCCTCACTCCCATGTCTTTTAAAGCAGGCAGTAAATAAATAGCTTCCACTTTGTTTTCTTTCTTAATATAGAGATACCCAGGCCATAAAATTCATGTGCATTCCCGCAGTCTGTGAGGCAAATGTAGAGCATTGTAATTTTCCCCATAGCTGACCTCTATTTTGGCACAGTGATGAGTGGGGCTGTCCTAATAGTTTACTGCAGGTTAAGTGAAGGTACTGTGGTAGATATATTTCCTTGCATTCACAAGTCATTATCCTCATCTTGGAGTGGACACAGGGAGAAGCTGGAAAGGAAGTGAATTTTGAAAGATGGACAGGTTGGTGGCTTTCGTCCTCTGTCAAGATCTGACTGCAAATTAAGTGAATCCAGCTTCCTACATTGACTTTTGCATGTCGGAAGTGGGCTGGGAAGGTTGCAAATGGTGATCACATGACCCCAGGATGCTTCAATCATCATAAATACATGCCGGTTGCCATGTGTCTGATCTGTGATCATGTAACCATGGAAATGCTGCTATGGTCTTAGTTGCAAGGTCCACTCATAAGTCATTTTTTTCAGTTTCATTATAACTTTGAACAGTCGCTAAATGAATTTTCTAAGTCAAGGACTACTTGTAGTTTTGTTGGATGTAGATGGAAAACATTAGATCAGAAAACCTCAAAACCACGCAGCCTTGACTATGGGCTGAGGGAGAGAGGAAAATGTGTTATGTGATCAGGATCTTAAATAACAATTAGGGCTCAGCATATTCAAGCTGAAATTAAAGAGTTGTGTCAATGTGCCCTTAAAAAAATATTATGGAAAAACATGAATGAAAGGCATGTTAAGCCATTTTTTCCTTTAAAAATCCATGAATACTCCTAAATATTCTAAAGCAGGGGTGTTAAACTGCCAGCCCATGGGCTGGATGCATCATGAAGAAGCCGCACCCACCCCATTGCCAGCAATGGCAAAACTGTCCCGATACGTTGCATGTCATGTGATATCACAAGTTTGACATGTCTGCTCTAAAGGAATGATACATCTGGAGCAAGGAGGACAAAGACCAAACTACCCCCAAATCCTGCAGAAGTAAAATACTGGAAATGCTAATTTTCCTGTGGATCCTCAAGACAATTCAGCATTTGAACAAAGCTAATATCATAGGAGGCTCTTAAAATATTTGGTGCAATAAACCTTAGTCTGAAAACATCCCTTCAACTTTCTGATAAGAAAATTGGGTACTTCATATTGGCTTTTTCAAAACTCGGATTACTTAGCACTGCACATTTAGAATTCTGATATATATCATAGTGAAGAACATTTATTCTATTATCTGGGGAAACCTAACAGTTTCAAAATTGGGAACATGAGACTTCTCTTCATCCCCTGTTCTTCTGATGGTGCTGCATCATGATAAATTTTGCTGTATATGCTTATTCTTTTTTCACCACCAGGAAAAACAGATAAATCATTACAGAAAAAACCAATCACATCTTTTTTCCTTCCAATCAGGCACTTCAGTCACCCAGAGGAAAAGGGAAAGAAAAATGTTGAGAACTTCCATTTTTATTTTTGTTTGAGAAAGGAATCCTTTTTCTAAACATGCCACAGCAGGAAAGTAGAGTAAGGTCCCAATTTTACCACCTTTATTACCACTATTGTTAAGTGAATCACATGATTGTCAAGTGAATCTGGCTTCCCTTTTTGACTTTGCTTGTCCGAAGCCAGCTAGGAAAGTCACATATGGTGATCCCAGCAACCTTCATTAATATATGTTAATTGCCAAGTCCCCAAATTTTGATTATATGACCATGAAGATGGTCTTAATTCTGAGGACCAGCTGTCACTTTATTCAGTGCTGTTGTAACTTCGAACAGTCACTAAACTAAGGGTTGTAAGTCAAGGGTCATTGGTAATGATAAAACAGGGCTTAGAATGCAAAATCTGATGCTTTCCAGCTGTTATTGAACTACACCTGATAGCATACTTTGCTACTGACCATGATGACTGGTGCTCCTACAAGCCGAAGTTTAGCAATCTTATTGTCCATTCCTGATTTTTGGCTAAAATATATTCATTCATCTGTACTTAATTGTTTCATTTGTCTCCCAGTACAGCCACTGTTATGGGAAATGCACAGTTCATTCCAAAAGAATCTGAAGACCAAGGTCCTGTTAGTGAAATATCATATTCACAGGTAAAATTTTGAGTAAACATTTGTGTATATTAGCCCTACCTAATGTGCTGTTTTCTAGATGTGTTGTGGAGCTCAGCTCCCATAATTCCCAGTGATTTGATTTCCAATATTTTTCAAAAGCACTTGGCTCATACAGTATTTAAGTAGTATTAAAATATGCACGGCACTCTACATGTTTTGACATATAAATAACATGGAACTAGCCCTTCTACACCATAGTGTGTATCTTTGGTGCTTTTCTTGGCAGTTATTTGGCTTCATGTAACCAGAGATTTGTCCAATACATTGATATCTTTCACTCTTTTACACATTTCCCTGCATCTGATAAGACTAGGTTTTGGGGAAAACTGAAGGCCATATATGTTTCCTAGTTCATCAACTGATTTGGAACCTTCAAAGCAATATATATTATAAAAAATACAGGTTCATCAAAATTCTTTTTTTTTAAAGTTGAAAATTTAGAATGGTGACCTTCACTGCCATTCTTTTCAAGCTATCTTAGCAGACTGTGGTGTATTATTTCCTGGAAAAAAAAAGATTCAGACTTATAAGTGGACTGTTTTTCTAGAGCTCACTCTACATGAGATGGACAATATTCAAAGTAGGGGAAAAAAGGGTGGAGCCTGTAGATTAGAGTGGATTCACCTTAATTCACTAATTTTTCTGGAAGAAGTCCCACAGAAACTCCATTATATGTAAACATGACCAATTTTGCTTCATCAAAACATTTGAAGGATTGCTTCACAGCTTCAAACACTCCTGAAGAATATCTATCTATCTATCTATCTATCTATCTATCTATCTATCTGTCTGTCTGTCTATCTGTCTGTCTGTCTGTCTGTCTAGCTATCTAGCTACCTAGCTACCTAGCTACCTAATTAGTTAGCATCTATCATCTATCTGTCTGTTCTGTCCATCATTTCATGCTATTCTGTTTTTAACACAAAATCATTTTGATATTTTTGATTTACCATGAAGATATTTTGCAAAAATATCTCCATGGTAGGAGAATAAAAATGAGAGATTAATGGTGCATTCTTATACAAATTCAATCAGAACAGAGTTGTCTGGATTTTATGAATTGGCTAGATTTACTCCCAAAAATGCATTGTTTTGGAGAAATGAATCTGCAGAAGTGATCATTTCACAAATCTACAGTATTTTGCCTCCATTTTTTACTCATTTTACTCATTTTTTAATCAGGTCGCATTTTTTTCAAAACTGGTTCCACCTGAACTTCTGTTGATTGCCATACTGCATAAAACACTACAAACATTCAGGATGAATTAGTAGTTCTGATGACCAAACTTTATGCTGCAGGTTTCCTCTGAACCTTCTGAAAGCCTTAAGAATGGACCTGTCATCATCCAACCGGTACAGACAGAGCTTTCTGCGAACAGCGACACTGGTATGTTCTGTGCAAGGAAGATTAGCATATCCATGTCTTATTATATAATTGGGATCAGACTCTGTGGGAACTGAAAAGGCGAACAGTCAAGTGGTATTACTTCACTGTGTGAGTAGGAGATAGAGAAAAGAAGAGTGCATCATATAATGCAAGGATGAGCTTTCCATGACCCAATAAACTACGTAAACTCTAGCACCCACAGAATAACAATAGAGTTTCTCAGAGTAGGCAGAGGCTAATTTTCAGATCTTTCTCTTACAAGTTGAGGTATTCAAAGCAGCAATATGGATGCCTTAGTCTTCAAGTGACTGTGCCCTTTAAAAACTGCCAACCATCCTCCAATTGCCTCCAATTTTTAAAAAAACTTTGAGTGGAATTGTATAGAAATAAAACAGGTAATATAGCTCTTGGCCATGTTTAAGTGTCCCTTATGCCCTGAAAACTCCCAAGACCTCAAAAATATTTTAGGATGGAATTATTTATCCCTCTCTTCCTGGTAGTGTCCTGATATCACAAACCATAACCACTGCAATCTCCAGGACAGTATAGGTAGTCCTTGCCTTATAACTATTGATTTATTGACCATTCAAAGTTACAACAGCACTGAAAAAGTGACTTATGACTGTTTCTCACGCTTATGACTGCTGCAACATCCCCATGGTCACGTGATCAAAAATTCAGCTGCTTGGCAACTAGCGTGTATTTATGATGGTTGCAGTATCTTGGCGTCATGTGATCCCCTTTGGTGACTTTCTGACCAGCAAAGTCAATTGGGGAAGGCAGATTCACTTAACAACCATGTTACTAACTTAACAACTACGGTGATTCACTTAACTGTAGCAAGAAACATTGTAAAATGGGGGAAATTTTGCTTAACAACTGTCTTGCTTAACAACAGAAATTTTGAACTCAATTGTGGTCATAGGTTGAGGACTACCTGTATTACAAGTTCAACTCTATGGCCCCCAAAAAGTTTGCCCTCTATTTCAAGAAAATATCTCTGAGGTGGCACTACAGTTCCTCTCTTCCCCTAGCAATATCGCTAACAGTTCCGGAAAGCACCCGATGGAGACACAGAAGTCTGGGTCAGTGTTTATTTTTGAAGTATAGAAAGCTTGCGGGTTTAACCCATACAATATTATAGGTGAAGATTGTCTGGGCAGGTTGTAAAAATCCATCAGCATGATAAATAATATGTATTTTTATAGCTGACCCTTGTTAATGCAGAAGCAGTGAGCTTTTTATAGACTGGGAAGCTTAGGGGAATTCATGGAATCTTTATGTCTCCCATGAATTGGACCTCTACAGAAGAAGCATGAAGTATGATGCAAATAATTCAGTAAGGGAGGATGCCTAAGTTTGATAGCCGCAGTGCAAAACCAAAACTGGCCTGATCAAGGTTTCAACAGGCAACCAGAATCCATTTCACCAAAATATAATTGTCCTTTTCTGTCCTGTTTTAAAAATAAGACCTCAAACAAGTAGTAGTAGTTGTTATCATCACCTTACTTACTTACTTACTTACTTACTTACTTACTTACTTACTTACTTACTTACTTTGGAGTCTTTCTAAAAAAATAATCCAAAGTTTCCTTCAACCTATTGGTGTCCTAAATTAGAATTATCATTATTACCAAGCATGATTTGGTTGGTATCCTGTAGCATCTTGATTGAAGGACATGATGGCTCAGCAGTTAAAGAAGCTGAGCTTGTCAGCTGAAAAGCTGACAGTCCAGGTTTGAGACCCTAATGCCTCACAATGGAGTGAGCTCCTGTTATTTACCCCAGCTCCTACCCACCTAGCAGTTCAAAAGCATGCAAATGCAAATAGATAAATAGGTACCACTGTGGTGGAAAGGTATAGTCATGCTGGCCACATTACCATGCTGGCCACATTACCATGCCACAATGCTGGCTCCCTTGGCTGAGAAACAGAGATGTGCACTGCCCCCTAGAGTCAGAATCAGCTGGATAGACCAGACATGTCAAATTGCCAGCCCGCGGGCTGGATTCATCACACCAAAACCGTGCCTATCCCATTGTCGGTAATGGGGAAAAAGTCACGATACACATGATACGACATCATGTGATATCGCGAGTTTGACATGCTTGGGATAGAGGAAACCTTCATCTTTAGCATTTGGATAGTAGCATATTGAGGGAGATTACATTAGAGCAACATGCTCTAAAGGGATTTGAGTACATTTCACATGAATGAATTTCTTCTCTGTAAATTCTGAGCAATGTCTCACATCTGTCTAATAGGGCTGATAACTTTGGGCAGCTGCCAGATCTTTGGTATCTCAACAAGTTTTGTATTTAGCTCTATGCTCCCAAGTTGCATATGTCCAATGATCTCCAGGATGACATGGATCCCTTGGGAGATTTCCCAGAGTATCCTCAATCTAATATTGCTCCAAGCCTCTAAGCATTGTGAATTGTTTAAGGAGCAGGTGTCATTCTTTGATGTTGTGCAGAATGGAAGGCCAGGAAATTTTTTTCAAGTTGCAAGTAAAGTACTTACGGCCATCTTCACTAGACGTTTCAAGGAAAAGATTCCACTCACCAATACAGCCTAAATTATTGCCACAAACAGATCTTTCTGGGATTATTTTACAAAGCCTACCACTGTCGTATCGAAAGTGCTTTGTAGATCTTATAAATTCTTGCTCTGTGTGTGTGTGTGTGAGTGTGTGTGTGTGTGTGTGTGTGTGTGTGTGGGCGTCCTGCATTATCACTTGTCTATTTTCTGTGTACAATGAAGGTGCAGTTTTTAGTACAAAAGGCTGATAGTCAACAGCAAATTTACATTGTGGGTGTTAGCTTGCATTAATCAATAGTTTGATTTGATTGACTCATTTGGAGTTGGCTCACCTCTTTTCCATGTGACATTGCAGGAAAGAGAAAAGATACATGCCGGTGCAAAAACAGGCTCCCATTTCCATCACCCCAGGGAAGAGTTAATCCTTCAAACAAAGAATCGTGGCTACTTTATGCCATGGATTTAAAAAAAAAAAATCTTAGAGTTTATGACATTGTATTTTAACTGCTGGAGATGAAAAAAAGGCTTGTGAGATAACTTACATGTGCCAGAACTAAGTTGGTAATGATGGTCCTTCAGTTGGTTGGAGGACTCATTTTTTACTTCCACACATCAAGTGGGAAAACTGAACTGCCCTGCTAATTTTTAGTGTTGAATCCTGTCTTAATACATAATGAGCTTTATACATAATGAGCCTGGTCTGCTCAACTTTGCATACATCAAGCTGAGCCAGTCTTATCATATCTAGGAGATCAATAACTTGCTGGCTCTTTCTTATCTGCTGGAGCTACAAGAAAATAATAAAACATGTCAAGTAATTGACAGGCTCTGACAAGTGGCATGACCTAAAGTTGCTTAACTTGCTTGCAACTGAACAGGCTATCACATGTCCAACAGTTTGCAAACAGCTTCTCCAAAACTGTTAGCTTGTTTATTGAACTGACTCTCGATTAGAAAGATAAGCAGGAATTCTTTTTCAGTCCCCCGGTGCATATTATATCTGAAGCATTTTTTTTCAGATCTAGACTTTATTAAACAGAAAAGAAAAGAAAAAAGGGAAATAGGTGTCTAGAAGCTTATATCATAGATAAAGGAATTAGAATTTACAGTAGGAGCAAAAATGTCTGAACATTTTCCTTCTCGCCCTTCCCTCCAAGTTGCATTAATTCAAATGTTGACAAAGATCAATATGTAAACAATCTGCCACAAGTATTAGTTTGTCTATTTTCAGTTTATGAAGTGTGCACAGCTGTTGATGTCTTAATACATTGCTAAAATTGGTCTTCAGCCATAGAAAAGAAAGAAGGATTTGACAGATAGAAGATAGTCAAAAGCCATATAAAGAAGGACCGGGGTGAGATGATAGCACTGTTCCAATATCTAAGGGGTTTCCACAAAGAAAAAAGAAGGGGGGGGTCAACCTATTCTCCAAGGCACCTGAAGCCAGGACAAGAAGCAATGGATGGGAACTTGTTCTCTTCAAGCAGAACAAGCATTGTGCATAATTTGCAGATTACCATGAAGCTTCCTTTACTTGCTGTGCTATGTGGAATCAATTACAATCTCCCTGCCAAATTCCTGCACAAAGAGCTTTGCTCCCCTGTTTATTTGCTCGTAAAATGGAGACATTTTTATTCATCTATGAAATCAGTAGCTACTTTTGATCACTTTTGCCTTTGTTCTACAACATAACACATTGCTTGTGCACACTCAACATATTACAGCCCATGCTCTTTCTCCTGAACATTTCTGCTAATAACTTTCAGAGGAGAGAGTTTTTACAACAACTTGGCACTTCAAGTAATTCCATGTTTGTAAAAGCTGCCAAAGAAGACAAAGCTGGTTGTTATCAAGAGACACGGTCTTGGTACTTTGCAAAATATTTTCTGTTATGGAAGAGTCTTGTAGAAACATCTGTTTGAATCATAAAGTGGAAAGTGGATTGCAAGGCAAGGGTTAAATTAAAAGTGATAGCAACAGATGTGTATATCTTAGTCCTGGTTTGTATCAATCCTGCAGATTTTTAGAGAAAGGAACATACAAATGGTGTGTCTATGTTTGAGTACATTTCATTCCATAATTACTTCTTTGGTCTCGGTTTTTCTTCATCCTGCATTGTGTTCCAATATCAGGCAGCAGTCAGACTAGGAAAATAAAAGGAACTGTGGAATTTATAACTCACAACCTTTTTGATCTTTAAATCAGACTGACCTTTCTATCCCTCTTGTTTTTTATAGGAGGAATCAGATCCAAATTTTCAATATGTTTAGCTTAGTGAGAATCACGTTTTAGCTTGACTTTCGTTTTTTGTGAAACATAGGTAGCATTGATTTTGCTTTGGATATTCATACTTTTGGAAGGGGAGTTGATTGATTACATGCCAACAAGTTATTAACCAGCTCTTAGTGACTACACGGATAGATGTTCTCCCTGATGATCAGTGCTTAACCTGATCCTT